GGCGCATTCGAATAAACCAGCCTTCTTTCGTGAGAGTGTCAATGGCTTTTTCTAAAGCAGCTAACATTTTGTTGTCGTCGTTAAACCGAATTTTTTACGTAGCTGATTCTTGAGTTTAGGGAATAAGAAGACGCCGCACGGACTTGTATATGGAGATTATTGTGGGTTTGAATACTGTTCGATATGATTTTCGATCGAAAATTCGTTAGTAATCCAAGCTCGATGAGATATTGCATTACAGACATGAAAAATGAGATCTTGAAGGCCACATGCTTCTCTTTCATTCAGATACAACTTTGAAGATTTGTAGTAAACATATGTTGACATATCAGCTTATGTTCACTGTTGCACCTGCTTCTAATGACACCGACTTAATTAAGTCAGACTTCATGAAAAAATGGCCACCATTCTTTTGCCATATGATGACGCGACATCTAGTGATTTGTGCTATGTTTATTCACTCTTTACATTGTTACAGCTTTTCTTTTCTTTCATCTACATAGATACAGGTGTGTGATAATATAAGCAGTTGATTTAAACAGAAATAAAGATTATGTTCTACTTAAAACAAATTCTTGCTTTGTCCTTAAACTAACTGATGAAAGTATACCATAAGAGTAACACGTACAGAAGCGAAAATGTAGTACTCAAAGAAAAATTGGCTGGTTTAGCGAAATTTAACTAAAAAGACCTCCAAATAATAATTTTCCTACGTTCTTTACATTAAATTATTATTACTAAAAGATTCAAAAATAATACAAGAGAGTGCTTTTACGGAAACTCATTGATAGTACGAACAACAGAATGATCATCGGAAAACGCGATAATTGACTTTTTTGTAATTTCCTGAGCATCGATTCGACGAAAAGTTTCAAATTTTGAGCATTGAAACGCATCGGTTTTAAATCCCAAAGTTAAAGAATACTTCAGCAGTCAAAAAATGGAATTTTCGTTGTTTTGACACTCAGAAAGTTATAAAAAGAAAGTCAATAAACGCGTTTTGGGGCGACTAGTTAATGACCGATAGTCGTGATTTCAGTTTTTGCGTTTCAGCTAAAGCCACATCCTTCGGAACGTCGAAGTATGTCATAACATAGTTCAACATCTGGACTATTATCTGCTAATGAATTAAGTAAAAAGATTATAAGATCTGTCGGCTGCATTCGACTTGTTTATATCAAAATGTGGAGTAATCGTGTGATTTTATTTCAAGTTGTAGTCTTTCTTCTAATATAATTTGATTTAGAGATTACGTCAACCTATAGCACTGCAATTTTTAGGGTACGCTAGATTAGTGTCGCTCCTTTTTTAGACGCTCTTGTTGCTACATGTGCCGCATTTTTTTCTGAAAATTAAACACAACACTCAATTCTCATTTTCAGATACAATGCAATAATGATAAACCGTTTTCAACCAGTCGAGATGGAAGTATATTTATAAGAAACAGCAAAGTAAGCGTCATTTTCGCGACCCCTACTCGTGGCTTTTCAGTATAAGAAATAGAAGATTGCCTGAATCGATATCCACAGAAATGATGTTTTCTCCAATTATTAATAATACTTCATTCTAACATTATTGTTTATTTTATGCGTACAACTTCATCTCATAAAATACTTAATTATTGTTTTCGAATTTGCAACGGGTAACCTTAACTCTACTTATATATGACGAGATTTTTTTGATCGTGTTTGACGCGCACTATAAACATCAATGAAACCATTTATGACTAGGGATTGTACTTTATCTTTGATTGATAAAGTAAAGTAAAGTAAAGTAAAGTGAAGTATCTCTAACTTTATTGAACAAGCAAGATGTAGTAAAATAAGATAAAGTAAAGCATGTAGTTGATGGTTATTCATTTATCAGTTTATTATCACACATTAATCACACTCTAATACGTCAAAAGTTGCGTCGAATTACGGATCGGAGGTACCGAAAAGTTTAAACCTGATTTTATTACTTTGGAAATCAGCATCGAACTCTGAATATTCTTCATAATTTTGTATTCCACATGATCACAACTCAAGTTTTGATACTTGGGGTTGCCCTCAGATATCGAAAAAAATTTTCTGGCTTTTCAATCACGAGTCTTTATAAATCAATAGCATCAAATGTGCAGATTACAAATATCTCGTTTATTTTTAGAAAATGACACGACAATTGAGTCTCCAACATTTGAGCGTTAATAGTTGAGTCTACACATTAGCGCCCTAGACATTTGAGTGTCTTGACGGTTGAGGTTGCTGCCTTTTGAGCCTCTTCATATTTTCAGTCAAACCATTAGCTAAATGAAGTATTTATTACAACTAGAGTGTGGGATGTAAACGGTCGTAGGGTGTGAATGCCGATGCGAATGCGGAGTGTGAGTGTAGGATGTTGATGTGAATGTGAACTGTGGGTATAAATGTGGGCTTTGGGTGTGAGTAGCAGTGTTTTATCCAAGTTTTTTTCTCCGAAGGAGCGATTTGCAATCTCGGGAGAGCGAAACATTTTTTTTCACAAGGGCAAGCATATCGTTCGTCCCGCCATGATCGTGAGTCTCGGAGGAACGAACTCGATTTTCGTGGGAGCGTCGCCGCCTTGGGCACCCCCTGGATAAACACTGATGAGTAGGGTTGTAGGTGTAAATGTTGTTCTTTCTACCATTCACTCTCACGCTTCACACTAACGTCTACCGACACCTACTTGCATCCTAACGCTAAGGATATACCGAGATCGAGAGGCTCGATCTCGATTCGTCTCTGTTAGTCTCAGTCTCGGCCGAGAATGAGCGAGACTGAGTCTCGATTCAGCCTCGGTCTCGGTACATTCTTACTCCACGCCTTACCAACACCTGCATATCCACACCTATAACTAGTTTAATAATACTTATCCAAACGTTTTCAAACAAGCTCACATAGAGGTTTTACTCACTTCACAAGAGTTAACTGCAGGAGGGTCAAAAGTAAAGAGGCTCAACTGTCCAAAGCTCAAATATTAGAGGGCTCAGACGTCCAGAGCCCAAATGTGTAGGCTCAATTGTCGAGGCGGAAATGTTGAAGGCTCAACTGTCTATGTAACCTTCGAAGAGTGTTCAGATAATAAGAAAGATTGCAAACACTCCCTAACTTCTTTAAAAACTAGCTTTGTCCAGAAATTTCACTAAAATGCGGTTCTATCTCATTGAAAATAAGTCTATTTTTGAGAATTTGTTTCTTGATGAGAAAGCATAACAAACCATTGAATGTTCGATTTTTTTCTACCGATAAATGGCAAATACTGTCTCGATTGGATGATATTATCTCTCATACCTTTTAACGGTACAAAACTAGAGTATCTATAGGTGCAGTGGTCGAATTGCTTCGCCAAATGTGCAACTGAATATGCTCTTTCTGATGAATCCATTTTAGACTTGAAATTTCGAATCTGTAAAAGTACTTTTGCCTCAAAACTCTATCCTTCAGATCCCGTTTGCCTCTTGCTTGGCTAGTACTCTTTAGGCCTCGAATAGGAAAATCCCACTTGACTTTAGACAGTTGTCATATCTGAAAGTAAAACACAGAACTAAGTCAGCATGTGCGAGTTAGAGATGTCAACTCAGTTGAATTGGTATAGGCACCCACTGCTTTAGTGTTTCCGTGAGTCAGCCGTAGCTCAAACCATTTGCTTGAATAGATAATTTATACCCTGTTAAATACTTCAAATTTCATAAAAATTAGTTACGAGAAGGTGTTTTCAATGGGTGTATGGTTGAATAGAAACTTTTGGTCAAGTCAAATCCATTTGAACTTCGATGAAATGAATTTGGTGATATTTTCATGAAATTTTTAGGAAAAAACTAGATCTTCATGACGCTATGGAGTGCTTCGGATCTTTCATATTATTTGAATACTTTCTAAAAATAAATGAGATATTTGTAATCTGCACACTTGGTGCTATTGATTTATAAAGACTTCTGATTGAAAAGCCAGAAATTTTTTTTCGATACCTCAGGGGACCTCAAGTATCAAAACTTGAGTTGTGATCATGTGGAATACAAAATTATGAAGAATATTCAGAGTTCGGTGCTGACTTCCAAAGTAATAAAATCAGGTTTAAACTTTTCGGTACCTCCGATCCGTAATTCGACGCAACTTTTGACATATTAGAGTGTGATTAATGTATGATAATAAACTAAGAAATGAATAACCATCAACTACATGCTTTTCTTAATCTTATTTTACTATATTTTGCTTGTTCAATAAAGTTAGAGATACTTCACTTTACTTTACTTTGCTTTACTTCAATAAAGTGAAATAAAGATAAAGTGCCGCCCCTATTTATGATTGAAAATTATTACTAACTAAAAGCTTGCGGCCTCTAAATATTATAGAACAAGATTGTATTATTCAAGGTCATCAATAGAAATCATGCCATATTCACCAGCTAGAACAAGAACACCTCTAATATGTCCTTGTTATTCAAAAAGTAATAATAAACATATTCGTTCTCTTGCTTTTTTATACAATATTCTTTAATGTGTACACACATTAATATTATGCTATTGATCTAATGGCAAGAAATGTAATACTTTATTCATTTCTTTTGATCATAAATCGAAATACTATGCTGAGATTATTCATTGAATGATTGTTGAGATTTGGAATAGAAATAAAAGCAACGACAATATAGAATATTATAAGTAAAGCTACACATACGTTGTTCTATATATCAATCCAACGAAAATAACGATTATGCAGTTCAGTCTTATATCTCTCCTCGTTATGATATTTCTTTCTCTAACGACAGCTAGAAACGAAGTTGAACGAGACTCATCAAAAGCAGCACTAATGAACCTATTCGCCGAACGATTGAATATCGATTCGGAGGAAAGCGACAGTGACAGCCAAGAAGGACCCAATGAAGATCGACATGCACAAAGAAGATATTCCAGTAATAGTGCTCTTGCGGGTCAGACATCACAAGTTTCCATATGTAGTGTATACTGGCAATATGTCCAGGACAATAGTAATGTTTATTTTATGGGCAAGAAAGTTGATGGTGCATATTCAAATTCATTTCAAGCGATTGGTGATGGATATGCTAAAGACAATATCAATGTATTTTATATGGGTAAAAAAGTTGATGGTGTATATTCAAATTCATTTCAATTGGTTGGTAACGGATACGCTAAGGATAATTTCAACGTATTTTATGTGGGAAAGAAAATTGCGAATGCATATGCAAATTCATTTAAATATTTTGGTAATGGATATGCTACGGATAACTCTGGTGTTTTTTACATGGGTGTAAAAATCGACGGTGCATATCCATCATCATTCCGATTCATTAGTAGTGATTATATTAATGACTACGGTGATGCTTATTGCATGGGGAAATAATAGACAGTTATTACTCAACGTATTAAATGACGCTTTGCAGTTGTTTAGAACATAATGAAAAAGTCTTGCTTTTTACGTTATATGTGTTAAGTCGAAGAATAACTTATACTTCTTTCTTCTTGCTTTTATAAAACAAGTCGTTTTTCTTCAATGAGTAGCCTTACATATACCATTTTCATTCTGCTTACCAGATCAATTAAATAAAGAGACACACATTAATCTATATCTTTAAAATTGAAATTCAGATTTAATATTCTATTTATCTGGTAAGAATAGTAATTCAGTTGAAGAATAGTTTTTTCAGTCTTTTCTTATTTTTAAATTATTATTAAAAAATTTATTCGGTAAAACGTAATTTTCATTTTTCATGTCTATTTTATAGTGCAGATATGTTTCATGCATTGTAGAATCTTAATGAATTTCAATTTTGGAATCTATATAAAATTTATATAAAATTTACTGATTATTTCAAGATTACAAAATAATGAGATTTTTTCAGACGATTTTTTATAAATATTGAGAATTACAAAGTTCTTCTTACTTGTAAGTTGATATCCAGTAACATTGATATTTCTCTCAAGAAAAACCATACAACAATTCAGTTTTTAAGTTTTTATTAAACAAGGTAGTGCTCTTTCTACGAAGTTGCTAACCTTTTTCTGATAGAAAATAGAAGATTTTGAGATATTGATGGTTGAAAATATTTAAACTTTTCTTCCAAGAAAGAACTATAAAGGCGTCTCATTTAACAAGAAGGAACTCAATTGCTGCAAAATTTCGATCATCATCAGTGTTACAGATATTTCGACTAGAGAAAAAAGTAAAGATAAACATCAGTTACGTTTCTTTCAGACAATGGAATAACATCAACGAGATAAAGCGAAATAAGTAAAACGCAAGATAAATTAACTATAGGATGTGACACCCACTGATAATGAATTATATTCTTGGAAGTTGCTTTTTCCTTTAGAAAGCCTTTGTATGATAAGAACGACAAGTAGAATGTGGAGGATAAGGGTGTTTTGAAGGAAGCAATTCACATTCTGTCCTTGTGAAAACAGGAGTAATTTGATTCGTGAAATTAACACAGACCGATATTCACTGTTATGCCCCGAGATTCTAGATACCTCTATCTTGATAAGTTTAAATTATACCATCTTTGAGAGAGAAATACTTGAAGGATGATGATAGATGTAACTTTCACGAAGATATTGCTACTAATTTTTCGATCAACTTGTGTCGACGGTTACCACCCTCACCTTCAAACCCTTAATTTGGAGACCTCGAAATCTGATTGGCTGGGTCTTTCATAATCGCACTCACTTGATTAGTTTACACGTTGCTCACAGGACCAATATAATGAGCAGTGGAGCTTCGAGTTTGTGAGAGATCGATGTTGGAAAGAATCAAAGAAACATTTTTTCGCACTGTGCGAACGAACAAAGATAGTCCATTCTGTACAAGACCCTCTTTTCAGTAGAGAGAATTATTGGTGGAGCAATTGGATCATCTTTTGCTTTAACTTTAGAGAATGCATTCAGGTAGAAATGGGAAAAGAACTTGCTAATTGCTGTAAATGATCAAATGAAATCTATGACTAGTATGTTTTCTTGTGTATTTCCATTGATATTTTACATATAGGTCTGATCTTTTTGATAGACATATTGATGATATCTTCTTTACGTCAAATAAATTATTAGAATCGATTAATCAGATGCTGGATGAACCCAACAGTTTTCATGCGAACATCAAACTAGTGACAGAAGTCAGTAAGACAATATACAGTACCATTTAAATGAAATCATCCTCGACATGTTTTTGGGAGTATTATTGATGGTGCACTTAGACGAGTCATAAGGTATTCAGCCACATTATCAACTTTTGGCGTTTATGATAAGTGTCCACCAAGGTATATATACCGTCAATTTCCGAAGTTTTTCTATAAATACTTGTCACCTCAATCAATTACGTGCTTTATGCATAACAACAATGACTTTCTTAGTACGCATTGTAAATTAATGATAGAACGTACCGATGTCGAAAACATAATTACTTCTGAAACAGCCAGATGCATCGTCCTGAATGGGAGCAGTGAGGCGATGGGAACATCTCAAGTGCAACAAATCAATTATAAGTCAAGATCGACGAATCTTTTAAACATTCATTATAGACATGAAAAATGTCTTCAATTCTTCAAATCAGACGTTCACAAACTACGGAGTGATACATTCAATTCAAGTGTTGCCAAAGTCCTCACATGCAAAAAATAACCGAACCCAGCACATTGTAGATTCTTCTTAGTGAATATTTGACTTTAAAAACTAGTGATTAATAACAATCTCCGAATCATACCAACTATGTCGAAGTTGACTCTCTCCTTGCTATTAATCTGGTGAATCAAAACTGACTTTAATGTATCAATACCACTTAGCAACCTTCCAAGGTTCCAAAAGTGATCTTCGCATAGAACTAGAACCACTGCCAATAATTTTCACTAGTAAGTAACACTCGAATTAACCATTCGTTCAAAAATGAATTTCCCTAAACAAGCCTATCATCAATTCCTCCAGGCGAACAAGAAAATCCCTTTCGTCTACTGACCACAACAACAAACTATAGCAGACATTATTAATCAACATAAAACACCTGTTGAGCCAAAAAAGTAAGTTTTTCATATAACTGGACACAAGAGTCATATGTGAATAGTTTACTACAACACAAGACAACCACCATTTCTACCGATTCAACACACCACAAGCTAACCATCTGATAACATCGGGTAGTCAAGCAGGAGCAGTATTCGCTGTAGAGCAAAAAGCAGCCAAAACAAAATGAATCTTAACTTTCCTTGATTGAATCAGTACTACAATTTTTTAACAAAACCATTTGACGAGTCTCCTTAAGCGATGACGGAACACGTGTTATGGCAGCTTTTTCACTCACATCCTCACCCTAACTACGCCTATTAGTCATTTTCTGTAAGTCATTTGCTTTCTTAAAAAAATCACATGTATTATTATCAATAAAATTTCTGAGAATCACAAAAACGTGTTTCTTTTTATTTTAATCCTAATTTTCGCATTTTTCAAGTAGAATTAGTAAAGTGTCGGATTCAGTTGGAAAATTTGATCGTAAATCATCTAAAGGTGAATTAAGATCAATTTCAGTTGGATTTTCTGGATCATCCAATAAGTCCAGTTTGAAGGAATCCTCAAAATCACTTGGAATCAACTGTTTCTCCAAGGCGTCATCCAAAATGGATTTCAGAAGTGTTTCATTCGTGGTTGAAATAAGAATAGTTCTGTTTTAATATGTAACTTTACACTTGACATCAGCCATCGATATTATTTTCAATCGTAAGTCAGCGAGCGATTCATCGGTATCAGTCAGCGAACAGTCCTCAACAGGATTTGAATCATCTGACAATCTTATAGAATAGAAGTTCTTTTTAAGTTTCCATAGTTGACAAACAATTTCATGAAGACGACCAAAAGACATCGATGGACTACACCGAAATCGAATTGGATGTTGTTGCTTGTCACTTTCTACTATGACATTAGCTTCTAGTTTCTCATAGATTATTTTGAATACGACAGATAATGTTGCCGGATTGATAAATAGACTTAATCGTGTGTGGGTGTGGGTGTAAAGTGTATGAGTGCCCACATCCTCACCAATACCAACGCACACCCACACCCCACATCCTCACCCACCCACACCCACACCCACCCAAACTCACACTCACACCAACACACGCCCACACGCCAAACACCCACACTCACACCAACACCCACACCCACCCACACCCTGAAAACTGATTTCGATTTCTTGAAGTTTTCTTTTGAAAAAGCAAGTATGCAGCTTGTCAATACAAAAGTTTCTAAATCATTAAGAAACGATTGACTTTACTGTCTGCATAGTTGTGAGTATGGATTAGGACTCTTTAGAGTGCGCTACGTACTTCGACGCTATGATAATAGTTCGCAAGGTCAGTTTGGCGAGTAAAACAGTTTTTGAGTAATTAAATACATGCGCAATTGCATCATGTCGATGGTATTTGAGGATGTGAGTGAATGTAAGTGTAGATGGAAGGAATACTCTGACCTACACTCACACTCTTCCACCCGTTATTTTTGGAGAATTAAAAACGTATGTAACAAACTTTCGTTATTGACTCTCTTACTTCTTGAGCTAGGACCTTTATTTTTACACAATAAGTGTACTTTGAAATGTTCTTTAAAATGACTATTTATTTGTTCAAATTGTTCAAGTAGTTGCAAAAATATATGGATAGGAAAATTGGCTGCGAACTTTTTTTTCCGTACCTTACAATAGGACAAAATCGAATATGGATAAAAAAACGAGTATATAGATCAATGAATATTTAGTTTTGAATAGTTTTTTCCATTATGGTGATTCGTCTATTTGATTATCATCATCTTCCAGACGATATTCATTTTTCAACGTTTTAAAGTAATTTTTTGCATACTTATTTGAATGATCTTTTGCCTCTCTTTTGTAATCATTCGGACTTTCCTTATACAAATGAGCTTTTTCACACGATATGGCATCATCAAAGTTTGGCTTCTTAAGAAGATCAAGAATATTTTCGAAAATGACACTCATCTTCGTTTGCATAGACCAACATCGACCAAGAATTTGATGACAAATTTTTCCATCACCACTAATATTAACATGATATATAGGTGTAACAAAACGAACATTTGGCGGGCAGTTTGGATAATGTGAATCAAATTCAACATATAGCACCCAAAATTTTCCTTGATAAGAAGTTTCTTCAGGTCCTTTCAAGATCACTTTCCAAAAGGCAATATTTTTAGGAACAGCAAAAACAATAATATCTTCTGATGGATACTTTAACATTGCATGTAATTCGTTTAATATACGACGTGAACGTGATGAATTTTGTATGACGTTATCTGATGGTAGTTGTCGATTCGCTTTTTCTTGAAAAGCTGAAGGAATATAACGTACTGGTTTGTCAATGATGCCGTATGATGTTCTTGATCGTTTCGAAAGCCATACAGCAGCTTCTTGTTCAAAGAGAGCGGCAAGTTCAATATCCGATAAATGATTAAGATTTCGATAGATATATCCACCAGATACAGTACATAGTTTACGAAACTCTTGAGCTTTGGTGGTTTCATTCTTCTTTATCAATTGTTCATCGCATACAAATGAAATAAAATCTATTACGATATTATTTGTTTTTATTAAATCATATAAAGTTTGAATTTTTGTGTCACCAGAATTATTGATACCATCAGAAAGACATATAATCAGTTTTTTACAATCTTTGCTTGCTCGCAATGGACTGTCAGTAAATGTTTTTATTTGTTTTATTGCTTCACGAATAGCATCGTACATACATGTCCAATCTCCACGACAATCATCAAAACTAAGTGCTTTTTCAAATTGTTCACGACTTCGAGTAATTGGACAGACTGTTTTATATTTTGTTGCGAATTCAATAAGACCAAATGCATGAACTTCATTTGTTGAAAGTATATTATCACTCAGTCTACCTAACATCATTCGACAGATATCCATATGAGTACAATTTTTATTCTTATCAGACGATTCAATACGATAATCGGACATCGATCGACTACGATCAAGAAGAATTACACTTACTTGAGTTGCTGGAACAGAATTATTATTATTTAATGAAGAATCGACATTGACTCTAGTAATATTCAGAGCGTTATGGAGATAAAGAGGTAAACGAGGATCTTCTAATGCTGCTTTATCATCGAGGAATGTGTCAGATCCTACTAGAAGAGATTGATTGTCCATTGTACATTTGAAAGGATCAAATATTTGGAAGAAATGATTAACATCTCGTGATGTTCTTCTATCCGAATATATAACATTTTTTGGTGAAAAAATTAATGCTACTGTATGATCTTCGTGTAAAAGAACAAGCTGATTTTTGACGTCAGCAGTCACGCCACCACGCGTTATTATATTGAATGAACGATATTCTTGTGTCCGTGCTATAGTCTTATATAACTCTTTTATTTGAATATCTGTCCAATATTTAAGCGAGTTCAAAATAGACAGATCTTGAATTATTGGATCATATATGACATAATCATCGCATCTATATGGAATTTTAGAGGAAATTTTGCTTAGTTTTGAAAGATATGATGTCAACGATCGGATGTCAACATGATATTGTAGAAGATCATAATCGTTTATCACGTTGAATTCTTCTAATAGCAATGTTTGACGTTTGATTTTTGATGTTGTAATAGGATTTTGAAAATAAGATGGTTGGCATTTTTGATCATTGATCAGTCTTACTTCTCGAAAATAGTCTACTTTTTCTGCAGATAGGTCACATTTTTCGAGAAGCCAACAAATTAATAAAGGTATAAAATCAAAAATTTCTTCGATAAAACCGGTGTTTGGATCACGTAAATAGATAAGTAATAGTATCGATCCGTCCATAAGTAATGATTTTTCAAACCAAAACATTGAACCAATGATTGCATGTTTCAAAGCAAGAATGGCTGGTGGAAATAAATATTTTCTTAGTTCAAGAAAAAATTGTGCTTCCATAGTTAGTTGTTTGGCCATTAATTCTCGATGTTCTGGTCTAAAATACATTCGCAATGCATATAGACTACTGAGAAAGATACTTTGAGATCGTTTCGACTGTTTGTACTCGATAAAATAAGATGGACACCATGAATCTGAATTGCAAAAAAGTGAAATATAATCATTATCAAAATTGTACATAGACACAGCTTGTTTCAGTGATAAACCATAAATATAAAAGTCTGTCGAATCATTTGACGATGGAGATGAAGGCGGTGTGAGTAGAATAAAATCCTTTACTAACGTTGTGGGATCACTTTCGATAAATATATGAAGTCGATGATTGAAAAGAAGAAGAATGTGAGAATCTTTTGTGTAATGTTCTATATTAAATTGAATTTCTCGCCAAATAATAGTGATTAAATCTTTCACAGTAGTTTCAATAGGAATTTTGATAGAAAGTTTTCGAAATAAAGTGCGCATACGAACATTTAATGATTTTGTGTCAATTGAACTTGCTGATGCATGATTGTCATCATGAATTGTGTTAACAGATGTAAGTAGAGAAGATACCATCGGTTTTTCTTCGGAAATCACATCTGAGTTATTTTGAAAGCCAGACTGTACTGATCGTGTGATACTAGGAGCCAACTTTTGATTACGCTCACTTTTTAAAAAAAATTTTCTAGACTTGGGTAGTATGTCATTATCATTATCACTTTCTTCGGCATTTTCTGAACTTGAAGATGTACTACTATTGAAAACAAGTCCTTTATTCTTACAGAGTTGAAAATGCCGTGTTTTTAGTGATGTATAACTGTGTGACGGACAGTTTTCGTTAGATTGTATTATACTTATATTAACTGATGGATTGGGTCTTGGTGTTTTGGAAACTTTGTTATAATGATTAACTGAAGTTGGACACTGATCAAATGATTTATCAACTATTTCGAAGTTAGGAAGATCTTCAGTTTGTTGAAGTAGAACAGAACTATCAGGAAGTACTTGATTATTAAAAGCGGATCTTATTGGAGTTCTTATATATGGCAAAAATCCTGTATCAATTTTCTTTTTCGATCCCAACAGTTGAGAATTGAGACGCGATTAGACTTCTGCAAAATGGTCACGGTCACGGTCACGGTCACGGTCACGGTCACGGTCACGGCGTCTCGTGACCGTGACCGTGACTAGTTTTCGAAAAATTATCGTGACTGGAATCGTGACCGTGACTAAATAGCTCGTGACCGTGACCAAATGGCTCGTGACCGTGACCTAATGGCTCGTGATCGTGACTTAACAGTGAAAAATTTTGATACTAAAAGTCTGATTTTTGTGAAAAAAAATCAAGATTTTAATTGATTTATGGGTTTTCTTTGTTTTGTTACAGGGAAAACCTACGAAATCAATTTAAATCTTGATTTTGTAGCACAAAAATCCAGCTAGTAATCCAAAATTTTCGTGACCGTGACGTGACCGTGACTAGTTTCCAAAAATTTCCGTGACTATGAACGTGACCGTGACCAGCTAGCTCGTGACCGTGACGTGATCATGACTAGTTTCGAAAAATCTCCGTGACTATGAACGTGACCGTGACCAGGCAGCTCGTGACCGTGACGTGACGTGACTGAAAAATCGTGGTCACGCAGAAGTCTAGACGCGATGTATGGATGCCATGATACGAACGACATGATTCTGGAGAATCTTGATGTACATGATTGAGGTTTATAGATCCATTATTACTCTGCAGAGCATGTCTACTTTTTGGCCTAGAATGCTCGTTTGTGTAATGCTGTTCAAATTGACCATTGGTTTTTAATGCTTTCGCAGATTCTACTAAATATACATTGAATTAAATTTCAGTTTGAATAAAATCGATGCGCAGTCAGTAGAATTCAACTAGAAAATTACTATTAACAATGATCTATACTTGACTAGATTGATCAGCTGTCTAATATCTGTCATTAACTTCTATCTAATGAAGTACAACTGATACTCTGAGATTCAAGAGATGACTTTCAAGCTTCGACAGTAGTCGTTACTGATTTAGAACAATTGTCCCATGGTTTCGAATAAGTGACAGATGAAGTCATACATTGGATTAAGCATATAATTGATCAGATTTATCTTATGGTGTGTGAGAGACTTGGAATCCTTGAAAAATAATGTAAAAACTGTGAAAAGATTAATTAGTAGAATGGAAATCGTGAATAAATTCAATTTATTATATACTTAGTCTAGAATATAGCTTCATCAACTACTCTTTCGTATTCATGAAACAGTGATTCTAAATTAATGATTAAACGACATTTTTGCAGTCTTAATATTGTTTCTTGAATCTAAGAGTCTCACTTTAGTTTAAGAAGAAGGTAAATCGACGAACACATCATCAATCTAATATTTAGATGCATATATCGAATCTAATGAAAATTTGTTTTAGTTTTAATGAGTGTTATATGTAGCTACAGTTGTCTCTAATTCATTTCTATCATTTAGAAAACTTTTAATTATGTAGTCACTCTTAATCATCAGTAGTAACATAATACTTGAAGGCGTCGACAAAATAATTAAAGTGATAAATGCGAAAGCAACTAATTTAAAAATAAAGATATGACGAGATCTGTTGATATTGTTGAAAGACGCAAATTTTTTTTTCTGTCTTGAATGATCGGCTACTATTGCTCAGAAAAACAGTGCAAAGTAATGGAACAAGACGTAGAAATTTACCTCTGTTTCTAAAAAGCTCTATAGTATTTTGAAAATAAAAAAGAAAATATCTGACCTTGATTTTTATTTTGCACTAAAAAGACTTTGCCTAACCAAGAGCTTATTCGATGTAATAATTGAAAACCATCTGTTTGTTTGTTAACATCATCAGCAACTTGTTTTATTATCTCTTCGATATCTTTATTAGGTATTGTAATATGTTTTAATAGATTTTCCATAAAACTCCCATTTCTATTATTACGCGTTTCATCTTGCACTGCATTACCCGGAGCACAAGCAAATACAATAAGAGTTTGTGATGATCCATTCATGAATAATAGATTATGATTTGAATTCATCGATCGAGTACGTATCATGTGTCTGCAGCAATCAAATAAATATATTTCCACACGACATTTTTGACGATTGATTTTTTCTATTATATATTTGATGTTAATAGCATGTTTGATGATATAGTCCTGTTCATTTTCTCGATAATCATAATAATAATCTACTGGTAATAAATAATCCTCATCTTTGATTTGTTTACCATGACCAGCAAAATAGAATAAAATCAAATCATCTTGTTGGATTCTATTAGTGAATGTATCTATTATACTGTAGAATTTATAAAGATTGCAATCAATTCCAAGTAATACATGAAAATCAATTCGCTGAAGAATTTTTTCTAGATCTTCGGCATCATTGATACAATATTCTAATGGATTACGTAGATAATTATTGATACCAATAATTAAGGCATGCTTTTGCCGATAAACAACAGACGACGTCATTGTCCTAAAATGTGATAAGAAGAGAGATTTGTTTGATGTTTCTGATCATCATATTTATATTTGGGAGAAAAATTTCTTAGCAAGCATTTTATTACTACTAAATACTCATACAGCAATATAGGAAACAGTTTGTGCGTTGGCCTTCTAAAAGAAATTTTTTTTTCCTTCTTCAGACGATGCTGATTTGATTCAACATGAATCTTTTATAATGTGTTTGACGACGACATACTGACAATGGTTTGTTTCATTGTTTTTTCTACCTACATGATCCACTTCACAATAAGAGAAAGAAAGGAAAAAAATAGTTTACATGTACATTATTAACTAAAAGACTGACTTTATTTTTATGCTTTTTTTGAAGCACAAAGCACAGAAGTATACTAATTTAGCTGCATTCAATAGGATAATGATTAACTTATAGTCTAGATTCTAACTCTTCAATTATTACATGTCTATTATTGATGCAATGTGTTGTTATGGATATAAGTAGTTGAATCAATGAAGAATCGAAGAAACAAGTATAAATTACCATATTCAACAGATTGAAATAAAAACATATATGAAACAGTACAATCAGATTTGTTAGTTATCCAAAGATTTTAGATACAAATCTAAAGTTATTCTCATTGATGAACTCTAAACATCTTCATACTAATGAAATATAACAGAAATTAAAATTATCATATCGTAGATAGAAAAATCAGGATATCTGCATTCCAATTCAATTAAACAAGCTGATTTTTTGGCTGATAGTAAAAAGTTTTATTCAAATTGTTGCACAATAGGGTCACACAATATGGGATTAAGAGACGTGTTACTATAAAAAAAAAAGTATTTTAACAAAACATATAAAGTATGTTAATGCCGTTGTAAGAGTCAGTGACGAAAAGCAAATAAAACGTGGGTGTTACACTACTTTGCGTTTCTTCTACTATGACTTATAAGAGTTGGTTTTTTCCAACTTGAAAAAACAACGCAAAATCAACAACTGATACAAAAAAATGTCGAAAATCACTATATGATGTATTTGAACTTTTTTTTATAAAAGAAATTTCGAAGATACTGTCATAGAAACTAATAAACGAAGAATACTCACGAAAAAATATTCTTTCGATAGAAAGCAACATATAAACTTTCAATAACCACGTGTTGAAGATCCTATTAGATTAGATAATCGTTGAAATCGGTTGTATTTATTGCGTGTGAGTGAGTTAGCTATAGAAGTAGATGAAAAAGAAACAAAGAAAAAAAACATCGAAGAATAAATATAAAAGAATGAAAGAATATTATCAAGAGTCGATCTTTCATTCATAACTGTGAAATAAGAAGGTTTGATGACAATCTTACGTTTTGTCTGCATACTTTTGTAGACGAACAACGAATTGAACAGGAGAATTCATACTATACAATTATCTGTGAAAACAAAGGAACTCCAGAAGAAACTCAATGAAATTCTCATGTCAAACTGTGTTTCAAAAAAATGACACCAACATTTGATATTATTTATTCGTATTTTACACTGGTCTTACGTGAATTAATAACACGATAATCTTATATCAAGGTGGGTTTTCTAGAGCGCATTCGATCAAAATAAGTTTATTCAAGGATCAAGGAATGACTTTTCATTGTTCTAGTTATAAAATTCAGAGAAATGTTCGATTTGTATATGTGTGAATAGGCAGATCTGATTATAGTAGTAAAATAATTCAATGTGATTATGAAGTTATCAGTCTTCTATTGAAATTTATAATCTAAAGTTTCTGGTCGGATAGGGATGTAACAATTCCAACTTCAATTAATTCTGAAAAAAAAATTCGAATTCTGGATTGATGCGAACAGCACTATGTTTTGTCCGTAAAAAAATGAAGAAAAAAAACCCCTACTTATAACAAAAATATGTATGCTATATCTTAAGAAGATTACACATATTCGGGTCAAATTAAAAGTTTTACTGCCAAACTACCATATTTAAAGTATTACATATTCATAGCGAACCAGTATATTTTTCCCTGAAAATAGTGGATAAAACTTTTCTGATTTAGTTTTACATCTCAATTCCACATACCTTGAAATTTAAGTAACTTGTTCTAGATTCACTATGGGCACATAATATTTAAAATTTGTTAGTTTGACAATGAGGTCTTTAATTTAACTCGAATATGTCTAATCTCGATAGAGAAGACCGTCATAATTTACAGTCTTAAATTGCTTGAAAGCTGGTTTAAATCAGTGATTAGTTATTTCAATCTTTTTTAGCATTTTGTCATATTAACTTATTGGTTTCATAACACGATCGATATAACAGGTCTTTATTTAATTATCTTCCAAGCAATCTAAGTCTATAGATTATGGCTATGTTCTTTGTGATTTGTGTTGAAAAATGAAGAATATTTCAGATGATATCAAAACAGTAAAGTTAAACTCAGATCTTGTTGACACATTCAATACAAGAATAAGTTAATGTGAAATTGATTTTGATGAATGATGCAGTTTAGGAGCATTACCAACGATAATAATTAAGGGCTCGATCTTTTGCCTCTGCAATAGCTCGATGGATTTGAAACTTGTCAAAAATCAAAAAATTCTCTTCCGTGTGTGACCTCGTGACCAAGATTGAAACTAAGATAAGTCCAATGATACAAGCGTATGAAAAAATTCCAAAGCTTTGTCGTATAGTAATCGACTGTGTAATGTGGCAAAGACGGCTAGAATAGGCATTTTTGTCTCCGCTAACGAGTATCTGCAGAAAATGAAGGAAACAACCGTTTCACTTAAATTTTTTTTGATGGTAGGTTCGTTCACAAACTATAAATATTCACGCAAAGATGGAGTTCAATTCATAGATCGGTTTCCGACATAACCGGTTTGCGCTGGACATCATCAAATAGGTACCACTGTCGCATATGTGACAATCAATGAATTCGGAAATGTTCGATTGTGTACACTTTAATAATTTAGATCATGACTTACATGCAATAATTCTTAAATAATTGTCTCTAACAAGATTATCGTGCAAAATTCTCTTTTTGAGTAGTAAATTTCTATTCGTAGTTAAGAATTGTAGACAAAATGCGTGTATTCTATACATTGAAAAATATATTTACAATTGAAATTACAATAATTTCCTATTTAAAAAGTTTTCTTCATTGTAATCAACCTTTCGCCATTCTGCCACTTCGAAAGCACCTTGTGTCCTCTTCATCGCTCTAAGTCCATGAGTTACAGGACACATATCTCCCATATACCCATTACAAATATGGTTTCCATGTTTTCGTCGGTCGGCATACTTTTTCGGACAACATCTACAGGGTGTGGGTGTGGGGCGTGGGTGTGGGTGTGAGAGTGGATGAAAAGAAGACCAACAGCCACAACTACACTCACACCGACACCCACACCCACCCATAGTTCATATTTTTATGAATAAACAATATACTATATTATTCTAAAGATATTGAAAGAAATAATGCAAACATTCAAAAATTAACTACATTATATCACATATCTGTCTAGGTCCAATAGGAGGCAATCTAAATTACTTGTCTGAAACATATAGATCGAAGTAGAAAGGCACTCTTTGAAGAATTTAGACTGGTTTTGACCAAGATTGGCATTATTATCTAAAAAATGAACAATTGAACTATTCTTCTTTATTTTACTGATTAGTCTAGACAGTATGAACAGACCAAACGAACTAATCATGACAAGATGTGAATTCTTTCTGGACTAATGTGTACGTTTAGTTACATCAAGACGAATTGTAAATCATTTCAGACTAGACCAGATAGCAATGCAAATATTTGAGATTAGTCATTGTTAAATGTCCTCCTTTACCTATTTATTGTTCGTACAAAAGTATATAAATGTTTTTATGAAAATCTGTACAAATTAACTGAATTTTGTCAAAGCAATACAGAATATAAATAAATATCATTGTGAATCATTTTCACTTTATTTTCAAAGTAAAATACAATAATTGATTACGAGCAATAAGGTGAGCGTACAAGATTCTACTTCCTTTTTTTTTTAATCATCTTTGCTCTAATGTGGAGGAAAAGAAATTATAATGTATCACTAAAGAATGATAATTCTCTTGCTTTTATAATTTAGAAATCATTTGGAATATTCAACGAAGTGTATGATGATGTCTCATCGCTGTTTTTTTGATTTATTACCTGCAGAATTATTACATATTTTATTTAGTTATTTTTCTGGACATGAAATTCTAATTAGTTTCTATGATCTTAGTGATTATATGAATGCTATTTTACAATCTTATTCTGCTTATAAACTTAATTTTAAATCAATTTCACGATATAATTTTGATCATATTTGTCGTAATATTCGGCCTGAACAAATTATTTCATTAACATTATGTGATAGTGATGATACATCTGGTCAATCAGAATTATTCTTTTCTTATTTTCAAATTCAACAATTTATTCGACTTCAATCACTTACTTTAATTGAAATTGAATTTAAATCATTAGAATTTATTTTTTATAATCTATCAAAACTTAATCAATTACGTTCATTTTCATTTAATACTTCTACAATTAGACATACATATGGACCAATGGATCTTAATTTTGAAAATAAACTTCAACAGATAAATTCAATGTTAATTCATACTTATGCTCAAATATTACCTCAATTAAAATTTTTAAATTTAAATGGTGGTTGGATATTAGAATCGATACAACTTTCGAATCTTCAACATTTAAAACTTGGAAGTTGTTCCATCGATAAACTCGAAACAATTACTCATTTAGCACCACAACTTAAATCATTAGATATTTGTATTAATTTTGGAGAGATGAATTTTCAATCTATCATATTACCAAGTCAACTTACTCGACTCAATCTAAAAATTGATTGTAAGTATTATTTTAACAAAACAAGATGAAAAACGATTACTCTTCACTTATCTGTTCTTGTATAACTGGATTGTTATATAGATGAGATTGAAGGAATAAAATAGCTCACTAATTTTTCATATTCTA